TACAGTCATAGAACAAGTTATTAGTAAATGTTAACAATAAAAAAAATTTACTTCACTTGGGAAAAAAAATAATTTATGCATTATTATTTGTACATTTGCCCAAAACCAGTCAAAATTAATTCCTTGGGCAATCTAGTGTTAATAATTGCATGAGCAACCGGTGATAATGAATCTAAGAATTCCGAGCCATACATAAAACCTCAGCGGGTCACAGACTGAGTATGGGCTGATTTACATCAAAAAAGAAAATTGATAATAATTATTCACCTATTATCATAGACATCGTGCACCCGCGTGATCAGAATATCGAATTCCTTAATTTGCTGTTTAGTATTTTGGTAAAATTCGTTCCACTCCGGGCTAGTCCAGGTCAACGAGACTAAACCAGGCTCCAGTAGAGATGCGATCTTTACCAAATGGGGCAATAACAGTGGTCTCACTTCTAGTTTCACCCGTTTCGCTGTACGTACGAATTCCTCTATCATCAGTTGCAGAGAGTCGTTGATCACCGTGAAATGATCCTTTTTTGATAGAATAGTTAACGCGACGATTGGAATATCGAGGTTCAGCTTGGCTAGGCAGTCGGCTTCTCGGAGGAGGAGGACAACGCGGCTCTCTAAATTCACTTTAATCTTCCCAGTTTTATCGTCTATCACCAGCAAACATCTGTTTAATTCAAATGTAACAAATGTTTATCCGAGTCAATTGAGAGGATTAAATACGCCCTCCTTTTACACGCCATTTCTTTTTTATTTTTTTTACACGATTTGAATGTTAATTTGATTTCATGATAAGTTGCATACTTTTCTTTAAATGATTCATATGAAAAACGAATAACAAAAAAAATGTGACTAGATTATGTTAAAAGTAATAATTGTACGACTATACGTAATATCGAATATTGTTCGTTTGGCAGATGCAATCGAAGGGTTTGAAGATTTAAAGTCTATATTTGGATTCGCATTTTAATATGCCGGATGTCCCAGAGAAAGATTCTGGAAGTATTTCTGAACAACGATTTCCTTTGGTAAAATGCAAAGTGAGGCATAGTTTTTGAATTATTAACGAAAAACATTGACCAATAAGAGCGTGTGTAGGGCCCGCGCTCAGCCACGGCAGTGGTGGCTCGAATCGTGGAGTTCGGCCGTTGGTCAGCGCAGGCCCTACGCGCGCTCTCATTGGTCAGTGTTTTTCCTTAATAATTCAAGAACCACGGCTCACTTTGCATTTTGGTAAAGGAAATTGTTGTTCAGAAACACTTACAGAATCACCTCTCTTCGGCTCTAACACTTTTTCTGGGACAGCCTGTATAATATTTCTGCTAATCAGTATTCGCATGATTTGTTTTATACTATTTTTCATTTACTCTATAAATCTTTCACCGTGTAAAAGGAGAGTCAGGCATAATTCGATTTACCGTTTTAGACAATCCTCGATCACCCACGAATTTTGATGTGTCCACACCTCGGCGATGTCCGACTTGTACTGACTCAAAACGCTAAGAGCGTAATTGTACCTTTTCTCTAATTCCATTGTTAACGGAAGTGTTTTCAGTACTGGGTGATTAGAAACCGACGTAGCTAATTCATCTAGGTGGACTCTAAATTTCATTTAAACATTGATACCATATACCATTATACCATAATTACATTTACCATACAAATATTGAATGGTTCTTTTTTAACACCCTGTATATTATTGTGTATATGTAGTTTAATTGAACTTACTTTAATGAGTTAGCCCAGGTCAATCTTCCAGCTATAGCTGGCATGTGCCTCGGTAACGGAGGATCGTCCCTCTGTCTTTTAAATAATTTTAATATTCTATCTACTTCTCTGTCACAATATTTTACTACTATATTATACTTCTCATCCAGCTTCGTCAATGGAATTTTTTCACTCACCTTAGAAATAGAAATAAAACAAGTAAAATGATTCTTATTGTTTTAATAATAAATTCTATATTTACTTTTTCGAATCGAGTCAGGAATCGTATACCCTGAAGCGTTTCCCATACATCTGCGTAATTCTTCTCGATAATATCACCGATATTTTCTTTCAAGGCGTCGGTTTTTCCCATGAAATCATCATAATCCCTGTCGAATTCAACGTTCCTTGGGTCCAAATAATCGTAAGCCTTGGTCGTCGCAATCCCCTCGGCTTCTTCGAATGTTTTTACCGCCTCGTCCAATGCTATCATAAAATACAATAGTTAAATTTTTCTTCATCTTTATACAAATTATTATTATTATAAATAAAATTAAAGAAACGAAATTACATATAAATATTTGTTCTCGCCTTTAGATATTAAAAATTGTATTTTACTTGGAACAATTTGTGTCTATTTACATATTATACTGTGTTTCCTTAAGTTATTAAAAATTGCATGAATTCGTAGTAATAATCAAGGGTCGCGGTAGCGCCCCAAAGGCAAGCTTGAGTCATTGGATGGCAGCATGCCTGACGGCCACTCCGCGGTACCCTTATACAGGGTGTTCCAAAACTAGTGTAAGATATTGAAATGGGAGGTTCCTGACGTAATTTTAAACAACATTTTCCTTAGCGAAAAGGTTTTCCGAAGCGTGGTTGAGGAGGTATTTACAAAAAAACCCCGACCAATCAGGGCGCTCTGTTGACGCGATCTGCGAATCGGGAGCGTTAGTTCGGATCTGGACGCCCGGGCAACTTTTTCGCTAAGGAAAATGTTGTTTAAAATCACGTCATATCTTCCACTAGTTTTGGAACACCCTGTATACACGTAAATTCAACATTTTGAATTTCAT